GTTATATTAGGTGATTTTTTATTTTGTTGAAGCAAGAAAATGAAATTCAAATGATCGGCAGTGCATTTGTGTTTTGATATCAGTAGTAACATTTGTAATGTTCCATGGTAGAATTTTGTCACTGAATTTCAAAAATCCATCTTTATACATGGAATCATATAGTGTCAGAGAAAAAAAAAGACATTTTCTCACAAATTATTGCAGTTAATATATAATAATTATATAATCATTGATATTAATAAAATATTTCAAATTATAAATATAACATTTATATAAATATGAAAATATTATATTTTAATATTATACAATAAAACATTTTTCAGTGTGTATACCTTATATTTCAAATTAACTTGAAGATTAAAAGTTTAAAAATTAAAATTTCAATTTTTTTCTCTGCCTAATCCATCCGTCTTCCCATACTGTAAGGAAATATATAGAAATGCATACATAATAAGACTACCAATATATCTTTGCAGAGTGGAAGCTTATGACAATCTAACTGAACAAACTCATTTTAGTTGAAAATTCAACACTAATATCTGTTTTCTTCTGTTTTGTAAAAGGAATGTATTACAATATAAAATTATTTTCAATGGAGGCTGACGTGTGAAGAATATTCCTGCAAATTAGACCATTCAGGATCTTTTGTGGAGGGGAAGTAAAGAGTGGAAAGACAAATACACTAGCAAATAAATGTATTGATTAGATTTGGAAGCAATTCTCTGGTGTATTTTCTCACACAGAAGTAATTTTTTGCAACTCTATGATTCTTTGTCGGTCAATGAGTTCTTATATCCACCAGATGGTGCCACTAATCAACAGAAATACTTTGTTTTTCCCTCTTTTGTTTTTAACATGACTCCAAGCTCAAAAGCTGTATTTCCTATAAAACTACACTTACAACCTCAAATCAGAGAGAGTATTAGGGATGTCATGCTTTCTTTGATCTGTTACTTATATAATAGGATATGAGAATAAAGGCTTTTGCTATTGTTTTTGTTTTCATCCTAGTAGGAAATTTAATTGTTGCTCTTTATTTAAAGTAGACACATACCAACACAATAAATCCTTTGTTATATAATCTAGCAAAAAACATTTAATCTATTAGACAAAAGCAAATTCATTTGATCCTGTATGAACAGTATTATTAACAGTATTCTAATATAATACTAATTTTTGAGTGCAAGAGACCAGGAACGCTAAAGATTAGGGCAATAAAAATGTGAATTGCAGTGTATTCAATATTGTAAATTCAGAGATACCAAAAAGCAGTACTCTGTTTTTAAAGATCAGTGTGATGTATTCCTTTCCTTTAGATTCATATGAGCAAGCTGTTTTAAACATATCAAATGGTCCTTCCTGATTGCATACTTTCACTCCATAAAGTTCACAGAACTTTCACAAAAGTTCTTAATCTTGCACAAATGAAGTTTTTACTTTGAATTAAGGTAAAGTTTCCCTTCCGTTAAATTTAATTTCAAGGGATTATATGGATTATATGGACACATTCATATTAAGCTTTCTGGCAACAGTATGGATGTAATTTGTCACCATCTTTTTTTTTTTAAGGTCAGCCAGGTTTGCTAGTGGTTGCCACCTGCGGTGACTGGTTTTAATTAAAAATTAATACGTCATAGAAAGAGAAATGGGCTCTTGTTGTTTTCTCTATTTTATTATTTCATTTATTATGATGATGGAGCCCAAGATAAATATTTGCTGTGATTTTTACATCTGAAGACAGCAGTGGGTCTAAAAATAACATCAATGTAAAGTTGATGCAAGGTTGGCCCAAAACATTTTCCTTCTTAAGCCAGAACATTAAATGCTTCTCCACTTGGGAGACAGACATAATATATAATGTACAACAGCAGTTTGTTTTATAAATGCCTAAAATGTATTCCTCAATTACTTCTTCAGGAAAAATACCCTAGAAAAAGAACTAAATTATTTGCTATCATTTCATGACACCAAAAATCCTAAGGAGGCTGCCTGCCTCACTGTGCCTGATTGTAAGGTTGGCCTGGATAACAATAGAAACTGAAAATGTATCAAATATGTTAGCATCTCATCAACTTCCTAGGTCAATGGTACAAGTACAATCTCCATATTATTGCCTTGGCAATAGCATAGAACTGCCATACTCTTCTGGCATGCTGGGTTTTCCGGATAATCTCCTAACTAAGTACTATACAGATCTGGCTGCTTTTTGAGATCAATGAATGTCAACTAGCAGTTGCTACCTGTTGTAGGTGTGAGCTGGAGCAAAGAGACTCTGTTAGTTATGCCATATTTCTACTAGATGGCTCCTGACCTGAAAAAAGAAAGTCCAAGGGCTGTGTTCACCTATATTCTCCTTCAGTTATGTTATTCATTTGCTCTATATTCTATAATAAAAGTTACTTGGAATCCTGCATAAAAGCTTAAACTGATAGAAGATCCCCAAGTTGGTTTTGATCTTTTGATTTTGTTGATCTCTTGCAATTTCAATTTCATTTAACTTTACATAATCCTGTCCATTTGTAGGATATCAAATATTAGAGAGATGGAATAAATGTGGGAAAATTTACAAAGAAGCTTGATGAAGACGTAAGAGTCACTTGTTCAGGCTAGAAATAATGTATATCATGTGTTCCACAGACCAATCTTTCCAGTTGGAATATCTCAACATTTGTTGGACTTCACCTCTGAAATCCTTCTGATAGTAGTATCAAAAAACCCATGCAGTTAAAGGGCAATGACATTTGAAGACCAGCAAATGTGAATGTTAGATAGAACTTGGCATGGCTTAGGACATCCAGAATTATGGTGTCCTTATTTTTTAAAAAAAGTTTTAAAAAAAGATGTTGAGCGCAGGATAGAGACCAGTACTCTACTGAAATAGAGAGAAATTGTTTGCTGTTTATCTCTGAATATCTGGGTTTCACTGTTGGAGAGGGTGTGTTCTGGTCTTTTTGTTTCCTCAGGGTTTTTTTTTATTCTTTTGAATATGTATAAAGGTGGTAAATCTGCATGTGTCTACTGAAGGCTAATTCATCTGAGTGCCAGGCTTCCAGGAATTCTCTAGTGTTTTTGATTTAGCTTGGTCTAAGATGCTGTTTCCCAGTTGAAACTATAGTTGAGTCTGTCCATGTGTTGTGATATTGAGGAGTTATAATTGTGTTTCTCACTACTAACTGGTGCTCATGGATGTATCTGCTAGTCTTCTCCCTGTCTGTTCTACACAGTACCCGTTACTGTCCTTACAAACTAGTTTGTAGAGGACTCTTGTTTTTCTTCTTGGGCTATCTGGGTCTGTCTGTCTGTTTGTCTGTCTCAATTTAAGGTAATGAATATACTGTTAGAATATTTAGAAAGAGTATTTTATTAGAATATTTATATTCTTAAGACTCAGAAACTACATCTCATTTTGTTTAAGGTATTGGCTTTCTTTTCATTTTCACAGGTCTTACCTAAGGAACTAAGATAAGGTGTGTATTCCAAGGACAGCTTTTTATTAGATAAAGGAGGGCTGATTGTAATGTATACAATCTGTGCTGGAAGGAGAGGGTTTCGTGGCTTGTCCATCTAACAGCTTGCTGCTATTGCTATTGGGTAAGAATAAAGAATTTAATTTCAAACAATGGTCCCCCCCCATCCCAGCTCAGAACTGACTTATTAAGGAATAAAAATATTTACAAAATACCTAATTGTCCTGTCTCCTATTTTCCCCACAACAAACCTGTGAGGTGGGTTGGGCTTAGAGTGATTGCCTCAAAGTCACCTAGCCAAACTGTTAAATTCATGGAGTCACTAGGATTTAAGTTGTAATTGAAGGAGACTTTATCAAGTTTCAGAACTGTAAATCTACAATTATCCCTGATAAATCCTCTAAATAAAATTATTTGTAGAGATGTGAAAGTTTGCATGTGATAAACATAATTATCAATATGTGACTTTTGTACAGTGTTTTTTCTAATGCTTTTGTTTAGTCATAATCCAAATTTACTACTTAGTTTACTTCTTATAGAAACATTTGTGGTTGTTCTTCCAGAATCAGAAACCAGGCATCAGCCATCTGCATCAAGGAACATTTCTAAAAATGTACTCTTAACTTAAAAGGTAGCTATTATTTAATTTGGACATTTTTTTCATGCTCTTTAAAAACACTTGTGCCTGGTTTGAAGCTTTTTATTTACATGGCGCATTAGGAACACAGCATTCTGCCAAAAATCTAGCCTCTAGCTAGCATGTTCTGTGCCAGCTGCTCCAGTTTGCCTAAGAAATGAGCACCATGTGACCTTAGTTGAAAAATAAATGGTACTCATCTATTTTAATGGCTGTTGGGAATTATCAAAACCTGACTCCAGACCTCTCCGGGTATCGGACTTATTAGCTCAAGTTCAGTCACTTCTGACATATACAGTTTGTTCCCTGGGCTGTTCCTCCCCCTCAGATGTTTTTACCAAGTCTGCTCTTTCATACTTTTGTTCGTTTGATTAGTTTCCATAGTGACATTCCCTTGTGAAGTTTAGAGGTCCCTCCCAGCAGGTTCTCTTAAATGCAGCCACTGATCACCAAGGTTTGTGTGCCAGGTTAACAAGACAAACTCAGCCTTATTTCAAACCTTTTCATGGAATGCTTTCTGTGTCATTTTATTTTTTACTTCTTTTTTTTAATTCAATTGAGAAATTTCTTCACCTTAGGAAGGCCACTTGCAAAACAACTTGACTGATCATACTCTTTATTGAATTGCAGTTGCCTAATGGTTCAAGATTACATAAACCTAAATATTTTTTTTAAAACTTCCAGTATGTTTTCAAAGAACACAAATGCCTCACTTGTTTGTGTTTCAAGTGTGATTTGACTGTTCAGTGACTTTTCTTCAGGACAAATAAACAGTTACGGCATTCTGTCTGTATAAGTAGACAACACAATGGACTCAAAACCTTAATAAATTGGAGGTGTCTGTGTTACTGCATATACTTTGACTGGAGCTATTTCAGGAGGCATCTCTCGGATGGTCAGTCAGACAAGAACAGTTTATTGGATAGGTTTAGAACTAGATTGAGATCCAAGCTGAAAGGTATTCTTCTGCAAGGTTTCCTTTGATTTTCAAGCAAACACACATATGCATACAGTATGTATAGTCTGATACAGTACATATGGTCTAATTAGGCAAAAGACATAATCAACTCCATTGAATATCTTTACGAACAATATATTTATTGTTACTGTATTTATACCCAGTCTTTTCTGTAGGACAGAGGTACAAATAGTGCAATATCATGTTACTGTATACACTCGAGTATAAGCAGACCCGAATATAAGCCGAAGCACCTAATTTTATCACAAAAAACTTGGAAAACTTATTGACTCGAGTATAAGCCTAGGGCGGGAAATGCAACAGCTACTGGTAAATTTCAAAAATAAAATATAGCAGACTAAGTACTGTAAATAAACGTACTGTATATCCAAGACCAGAGATATACCAGTACTTGTATTCAGCAATGCTTGGATGGAGCAAAGAGGCGTGACCAAACACAGGTAAGATGAACAACACAGAGGCTGCTGGCGTGCAGAAGAAAAGAAGACCGGCGATATCAGCAGTTATCGGACCAGGCTGCAGGCGCCCGCAGATGAGCGGGAGAGACCGGAGAACACCCGCACTTGAGTATAAGCCAAGGGGTGCTTTTTCAACATAAAAAATGTGCTGAAAAACTCGGCTTATACACGAGTATATACGGTAATTCTTTTGTAGCAAGGAGGATCTCTCAGGGGATGAAACCATCTTTTTGGGTGGTTTTATGGGACCATCTTAGAAGACTTTCAAGGGTAAAATGAGCTAATCCTTGACAGGCAATTCAAAGTAGCATCTCAGAAATCAGGGCCACAGTGTCCTGTTCCCATCCAATTTGGGAGTTTGGCTCTCAATTCTTGAGCTGAAGGCATGTGTGCAGTTCTGTTCTGGGCATTCAAGATGGCATTTGGTGCAATTCTTTATTGTATGAAGAACAACTCTGCGAGTAGGTTAGATTATGAAGGGCTGAAATTGCATAGAAATCTGAACCTGAACTTCGCAAGTCCCAATCCATCACCTTAACCTTTACATTACACTGAAGTAATCAGAAATTGTGACTTTATCACACTTTATGATTGCGTTGCTTAGTGACAGAAATTTTGGTACCCATTGCTGTTGTAACTTGAAGACTGCCTGTAAATAAAAAGGAATCTTAACTTTTGAAAAAAAATCATATAAACTTTACAAAGTCACTTTAAAAAAGGTGACTCAGAGATGCTTCACAGCATCTGTAGGAGGAAAAATCAGATTCCCCCCCCCCCCGAGATGTCATGTTAACATGTCCTTCACGTAAAGCTAAGTTTTAACCTAAAGCGCTTGAAAACTTCAGGCTGGGCCCCAAAAAGTTTCAACTGTGGCCTTCAGAAACTTTCAGAAGTTATTTTTAAATTGGCATTTTTAAAGAGATGGAAGGAAAAATACTAAATTCAAGACTGGAAAGAAATCTAATCTATTTAACTCAATGGAAATAGCAGTGAAATAAATGCTGTTTATCCTACTTCAACTACTATATTTTGAAATGCAACATGTGGCATGCTTCCAGTGTAGCTCCAGGCCCAGAGAATGCTGCATAGCCCTATAATAGAGAAAAAGAATGTGATATGTATATTTCTGTAGATTTTTAGCCTGACTAATCTGGGTCTTTTTTTTTTAAAGGAAGAAAATTCATCACAACCTATAATTTTATTTGCCTTGTAATATGAGCCATTTAGAGTAGTTGAATACAATCAGGGCCATATTAAGATCCTTAGACATACTTAGCTTTGTAAGCTGTCATTGCAGTAACATTCCAAATGCTAGGGTTATAAAACTATTCTCTGGACTCATTTTCTTCAATGACTTGTAGAAAATTAAAGTAAATACATAGATAGACTAAGCCCAAAATTTCCATTACTAAGCAAGAAGCGAGTTTTGCTCTATTTTATGACCTTTTTTTTGCTACAGTTAAGTGAATCACTACAGATGTTAACTTAGTAACATGGTTGTTAAGTGAATCTGGGTTTCTCATTGACCTTCCTCATCAGAAGGTCACAAAAGATGACTCTGGAACACTGCAACTGTCATAAATATGAACCAGTTGCTAAGTGTCCAAATTTTGATCACTTGACTATGGGAATGCTGCAACGGTCATAAGTGTGAAAAATAGTCATAAGTCATAAACCTAGTACTGTGATACAACAGGAGTGAAAGGACAGAGAGAAGGGATCTCTGGCCCAATGGGTAGTGTGGAGAAGTCTGGAATATGCAATCTGTGCAGTCAAGTATTATATTACTCTTTATAGGATTTCATTAAGATTGTCTTTCAACTGATTCTACCTATGGAATTGTGGCAAGAATGTGAAGATAGGGTGAGGAAAAGATCTAGAGATGTAGCGTCTTTCAATCATCATTACTTGGCATAGTTCCCTGAACCTAACCTTCTTAATACAGCATATGCAAAAACAATATACTTGCTGAAGTTATGCTCCATAATTAACTGGAGGAAATAGAAGAGAGACTCAAGATTCAGAAGGATTTTGACAGACTTGAACATTGGGCCCTATCCAGGGGTGGGTTCTACCTACCTTTACTACCGGTTTGCAATGGTATCATGAAATAGAATTGGTGAACCCATATTTTTCTGCACCAGATATATATAATGTCCTATTTAGCCCATCTTTACTTTGTTAGTTTGCTATTCAAAAATATCAGAGAGAGGTCATGAGTCATTCAAATTGGTCCAATAGATTTGGATGTGACATTTCTTAAAGATGCAACTTCAAATTGAAGTCCTTCTTCTAAATATCTACGAGGGCCCTAAAATGGACAATGGAAATTTTTTTGTTTTATTTATGCTTGTTTCTACTGGTTTCCCTTGATGCCTTTAATTCACATTATTCTTTGGCAGAATTTTAAAAAGCTTCACATTGCATTATTTGTTTGCATTACTGAAGCAGAGATGATTTTTAGAAAGTAATTTTAAGCAAAACAACTTTTCAAAGGAGGAAGAACTGGGAGGATTCTGAATAAACACTGCATGCCATAGTTTAAACCATGAAGTTACTAGGTATGCTTTTATGCTAAAATATTACAAAACACTTTCTGCTGGAAGAAGTAGAAAGTATTATACTCATCAAGTATGCTCTAGGTTTTTTCACAGCAAGGAATAGCTAAGTCCTGTTAATGATATGAAGGTATATGCATATAAACACCCTGTTCTACATATCCATTATTTAGAATATATTATTTATAAATATATATGCACATACAGACACAAACACACACACACACACACAAAATGTATTAAATGGTACTTGATTGGTATATTTCAAGCACACCATATTCTACTTACAAATTCTTCTGATAGCCCAATAGATTCCAACAGTGGATATACTTGACGTTCAATCCAATAAAAGTTGCCATCTTGTAGGATGTAGGCAATGTGCCATCTCTTTTGTGGCTCCCACTCTCTGAACAGCACACCCCAGAGATAAAGACGGCACTCTCTCTCTCTTAGGGAAACTAGCAGAGCTTTGAAAACCTGGCTTTGATCCCAGGCCTGAGGTTTATGTTTGTTATTTGTTTAATTGCCCGTTTTGTTTTGCAGATTTCATTATTAGTCTGGGCTGTCTGTTGATTTTATATTTTTAGGTGTTTTTTAATGTCATGTTTAGTTTTGGGCTCTGTCTGAGTCCATTGAAGTTTGGGAGCCAGTACATTTAAATAAATACATAAATGTTTTGTATAATCAGGGTGAGCCAATGATTAGTTGAAACATTATAATATTGCTTTAAACAGCCTTTTTCCCATGGTTAAACTCCAAATACCTGCTGCTGGTTTCTATTGATATTGCTAAACAATATTACATATAATTTTTCCTTTAAAACAAGTCTTTTCCCTGAATTATTTCACATTTTCTCTCTGTGTGATGGTGAACTATGTTTTTACAGTGATTTTTAAATAAAGCAAATTATAAATTTCAACATGATTTTTTTTAGAGCACTTGAGTGCTTGCTGATCTGTGATTAATTCTAGCAGATTTTTAAAAATAAGCTTTCTCCATTCTGGAGCCCTTCAAGTGCACTCTATTGCAATCCTCAGAACTTCAATTAGCATGGAAAATTATTGGAGTTCTGGGAGGTTTTATTTATTTATTTATACACCTTTACACTCCACATACTACTATAGTAGTATATAACATAACATCATAGCAGAAAAACAAAATGACACAGAAAATATATAATATATAATCCTTAAAACTGTCAAAGGGTTTCATAACCTCAATATAAACTAATATAACAGAAGTAACAAGGGTATTGATGACAAAGCTTAAAGAATGGCTATTTTGAACAGTTCACTTTTTAAGGCTTTTTATAGGCCCACAGACATGAAACAATATGAACTTAAAGTGGGAAACAGTTGCATGGGTTGATGAAAAAAAAAAGTTCTTGCTCTTTCCATCAATCTTGTACACAGGAAGAATCTTTGCCATCCCAACCTGAGATGTGTGCACTGTACAAGTATGATCTATTAAAAATTGATGATTCTGCAGGTACAAGAGGACCAAGCTACACAGAGCTTTAATTTGTACCTGAAAGTTTACTGCTAGTCAATATAGAGCCTTTAAAATGTAAATAGTAGTTCTTACCCACCAAGAAGGGGAATGTTACATTTTGGATCAAGAATGGCCAGCAACAAAGTGTGAGGACTCAATTACAACAGTGTTGGAAGAGCTGAAGGACCAGGCTGGGCACATACCATTCTGAAGAAGATCTGTCAATATAATTGCTGAGAGTCAATAGCAATTTGATGGCACACCATCATTATTTAGCAATCTGATCAAAGTGTGTAGGTCACTATTGCCAAAGTCTCCTTCAGGACTGCTTCCAGAGGAATGCAGTGTGAGAGTGGGAACCAGTTGGAGGAGTTCAATGGTTGTAAATAGAAGCAGTTCAGCTCAGGGGGCCTGTGGGAAGGAATTTTCTTCCTTAATTGGCTTGTTTTAAGTATGCCTGGGAAACTACATTTACAATTTTCACATGTTTTCACATTTAAGATGCCTTTCTGAAATCTGTGTGTTTCTTGCTTAAGTTTGCCTGATGTGTGGGGCTTGACATCCAGGTTGAAGAACTCAGTCATAAGGCTATACAAATGTCGTGTTTCTTGACCAATAGGGAAATCTGCAGATGAAAGCATGAGTGTTTGTGGGGGTACAAAAAAATCTGCAAAGTATAATGAGGCATACCACCATGATCAAAGCATTGCCAGCACTTCCAGACATAAAGAAATGGAGTGAAGTTGACCACAACATACTCATACTTGTAGATGCCACTGGGTGCAAGAGCGCTCTTGATATTTGATAGTCCGAAGATCCAGATTACTAGTTCAGCTGAGACAATGATCTGGACCAGTGAGTGCCTTTTGGTAGTTTCTGTAATTGTTCTGTTTTGTTGCTTGTTCCGAGTGACTTGTCACATAGACTTCTGAAGGGCTGCTATAATGTATTGCTGTATTTCAGAAATGGTCAATTTGTCAATCTACATTTTTCCACAGAGTCATCTGTCTTTGGCTTATGGGACAAATGGTGCTGCCTTGGAGATGGCTTGCTTGTTTGTTTGTTGCTCAGCCTTATCACTTAACATTTGGGTCCTTTTGCTTCCTTTGGTTTATGACACTTACTTCTGTTCCCTCAGACAGATGGCTTGTTAGGATATCAATCTCAACAACTTTATGTGAGGTGTGTCTGTGTATAAGTGTGTGAGAATGAGAGTGAGAGACTTCTAGAAATCAGTGTTGCAAGCAACAAAATATATAGTCCTATGAATAGTTGCCATTGGCATTTTAAAGGAATCCATCTTCAGTACATAGTTCAAGGAATTAGTGATGCTTTGAATAAGCAAATCTGCTGATAAAAAAAATTGAAAACATCACATTATACCAAACAAGATGAACTAACCATCTAACCACAATACATATTTTCCTTTAATAATGTAAGCTCAGAATGAATGTTTTTTTAAAGGCTGGATCACTAGTGTAAGTTAATTTAAATTATGGGATAAAGAATAAATGAACTAGTATGATTGTGTTCTGTATACCTTACTGAAAAATAATAGGCTATATTCTACACTTTCTTTGACCAAAGTCCTTTTTGGCAAAAATAACAAATTAATCACATCATATGGACATTATGTAGTAAGCAGACATGAACAATTTGAAAGAGAAATTATCTTTCCCATAGTTTTTGTGGTTACTGAATAGAAAGTACTAATTTTGTATTTAGTTTTCACCTCAACTGATTGATATGAGAAATAGCAAGCAATTTGTTATAGCATTGCATCTGATCCCTGGTAACAGCAGTTGTGCTTGCTGGTAAGGCTGAATTTATTACTGCACTATGATTAACAAATGCAAATAAAAATGTACACATGAAAAAGTCTGCAAGCACATCTGAATTAAGAGCATTTTATTTTCATGGTATATCATGATGCTCAAGTGAAAAAATATTTGGTACCTAAAAAATAAACCCCAGAAGTTCAATGAAGTTCCTCTTATTTCCCGATAAATATGCTTAGGTCAAAAATATTTCAATTCAGTGGTTGCGGTAATTAAAACAACAACAGCACTAAAAACATTAGACATTTTAATAACTCCAAGTGATTTGAAGAAAAGATGAAACAATGTAATAGGAAGTTTGCAAATAATGTACAACCAATTCAGTCTCTTCGTTATCACAAATGGAAATATAGCAGGCAATTTAATCTTCACACTACACAATAACTCCATTGCTTCAGTGACTTGGAAAATTGGGAAATGATTTAAACAGGACAACCTTATGCTTTCTGCCGGACTAATAGGATTTAACGCTAATGCAGCATTTAGACCTGTGGTATTCACAATAATGTTCTCACATAGCAAATACTAATAATTAAGGTTGCTGCTTTCATATTAGGAAATACACCTGTCTCGTGTAAAATAGCAATTTTATCTTTAAGGTTTGCTGGTTGAGGAATCACTGTACATGATGAAAACTTGTTATGCCAATGGAATCTAAAATGTGTTGCCTGCAAAGAAGGTACTTTAGTCAATTGGTGAAACTCTTTGCTGGATTTTTGGTTTCACAGGAAAAGATATGCTAGTTGAATAGTCACAAAATGGTGGAGTAGCCAGCAGGATAAGAATGGAGGTGTGGGAAAATGAGGGAGAATTGGAGAAAAAAACTCTTGCACCTAGCTAACTTTGGTTGTCCTTGAAACACTAAGTTGCTTTGAACATAGTTAGTCTGTATATATGCAAGAATCAGAAAATCTCATAACTATAAACCAGGAAATAATAATAATTAAAAAAAATCCTGGAAGAAGGATGGCAGTGGCCATATTGTTACTATGAAAATCCATGTCCATTAAATCATTACATAAATTCAACTTGATGAGATCTTTATCTTTGTATCTGTACAATCTCAGCATCTGGCCAATGATATCAAGGCTTGAAAGCTAAGCAAAGTCTATACTTGGAAAACTACCAGCTAATCCCAGGGCTATTAGATACTATGAAGTAAAAAAAAAATTGGCTGGAAAAGAAACAGTGATACACAATTTCCACACTGTTGCTAAGGGAACTGCAAGGATGCATCCACGAAGTCACCAAGAGCAGAGGCAATCTCTACAGTAGTTGACAAAGTCTTTTACCTTTTATACTTCTGCAGGAATTTCTGGGTCTGAGGACATCTTTAAAGCAATGCAAACCCTCAAGCCATAAATTTATTTCAGATCAATTCTCAGGGAATAAAAAGTAAGTTAAAAATAACTACAACAGTGTTCGCCATGCAGCCCATATTACTGAGGTACGGTATAAGTCAACAGCCAAGTCCAATATACTAACTTAGCAGCATCTGGTGAGAAAGACTAGGAACGTATTCAAAAAGGGCATGTTGCATATAAACACACACAATTCTCTACAGTACATATAGAGTCTTCAGTTTATGATTGTTTGTCATTGTTTTTCAACGATGTTGAAAAAAGTGACTTGCAACTGGTTCTCTCAGTTATGACCATCACAGCATCTATGTGCTAAAACGATCAAAATTTGGGTACTTGGCATATGACATACATTTATAAAGATTGCAGCATCCTGGGGTCATGTGATCATTATTTGTAGCTTTCCCAGCCAGATTCCAACGTGCAAAGTCATCGGGGAAACTTAGATTCGGTGAACAACCCCAGGACTTAGCTACATGGCAATGGGTAGCAGTGAAAGTGAGGTCTGTCTTGATTCCATGCTATTTATGCTATAGGTTCCTGAAACCTATAGCATAAAGGTTAAAGTAAACTGTTTAAGTGTTATCAGCTGGAGCCTCCAATCATTTCCCTGACTGGGATCACAGGAGGCAGAACACAGATGCAAATATATCACGTAAAAATATGCCAGCATATTTTTGATCTATTTTAAAACACTTTGTGCAATTTAAGCAGCACTTGGCATATCCAACAAATTAATGCACTGATTTGCTTTCCGGTTTAAATTTACTAGGATATTCAGCTACTGCCATTTGATGACATTTTGGTAATATGGACCTGGAAGTCCTGGGATCTGCAAATGAAAATGATTGATTGTATAAATGTCGGTTGTCCATATTGCTCCAAATGAATGAGATCATGAGGAAGCTTGGGCTGAAGCTCCGAGGGCGTTTCGCTGTGTCTCTGTGCTGAAAAAATCAGGTGCACAGGAGCCAGAATGGTGCCTTAACAAAGAATGTAAAGTCCAATCAGAATAGAATGCCAGAGATATTGGAAATAATAGCTGTTTCTCATGTTCATGAATTAGGTGAATATACTCTTTATGTAGAATTGCAGGCTACTTGGAAAAAAAACCTTAGCTTTTGTAGGTTAACTAATGCCCTTTACTTCTTCCAATTCTTCCGCAGATTGAACATCAATTTAAAGCTTACAATTTATTTGCCCAATCATTTTGAACTATATGCTGATTTCCTCATTCTGATGCTTCTGTGTTTTTGGGTAGATTTATACCTGACCTTTCATTCAGCAGCTCAAGATGGCTTTTATAGTCCTCCCATTTTTCCTCATGCCACTGCTCTCTGTATTGGGTTGAGCTAAGGGAGAACTTGCCCAAAATCATCATGAACTCCCATGGCTAAAGGAACTCTTAAAGCAGATTTCTCTGAGCCAATCCAATCCCTTCACCACTACGTATTTGTTTCCTTGCCTTTCTATACTATACAATACCTTATTCTGGGGCTTATGTCTATTGACTTATGATTATGTCTATTGTAAACAGTTATCCCAATACTTTTCATGCTTCTACCATGAAGAGCGAACAAATGACTGTATTTTTTTTTTATAAAGAATGAATGGCTTACTGTGCATTTTGATGCCTTTCACAATGTATTTGTGTGTCCCCACCCCCACCCAAGAATAAAACTTTATCTTAAAAAAGCACACCTTCTCTTGCTGGCGTCCACTTACCTGCCAGGTTAGGCCCCATGACTCCTCACTTGGAGGCCTGGATAAGGGAGGCGCCCGACCCTTCAGTGCGGAGCCGAGCGCGCAGGCACGAGGCGGAGGCTGGCGCAGGCGGCTCCAGGCAGAAGTTCCCCTCCCACTCGCTCGCACATGCTGCTGAGCCGCCACCGCCGCCGCCAGCTGGAAGAGCCGCGCATTCTCGGCCGCTGACCTTCCACTTAGTCCGCAGGCTGCCCCCGGCAAGTCACCTTCGCTTGCGGCGGGCAAGGCATGCCCCTGACCTCCTGGGCGGCTCTTTCCGCCTGGACGCTTAGCGGGGAGGCTGACCATGAACCCTCAATGCGCCCGCTGTGGCAAAGTCGTCTACCCGACCGAGAAAGTCAACTGCCTGGATAAGGTGCGCGCGCGCCAGGTGGCCGGGCCAGCTGCTGCTTGGGGCGAGGGGCGGCCGGGAAAGGTGGAAGGGAACCCAGCGGGCATGCGGGAGGAGGGATGGGCGAGGAACTGCTTCGGGATGGCTTCGTTCCCTTCACTCTGCCTCCGGCATCGTCTCAGATTTTACGTGTGCAGAAGTAGAAGGACTCAAAACTGGGATATTTTAGAGGCCCTCGTTTTTTTTTGCGGGGGAGCATTCTTTGGGGTGGGCGACATTGAACTTAAAAGGAATGTCATTTGCAATTATGTGCGGAGGCTGGGAAGAGCCTTTCCTACCGGACACCTGTCACCTGTCTTGGATGGCAGCTGCCGCCACCACTGCCATTTCATCTCTTCCCCTCCCTCCCCCTCCCCGCTTCCCCCGATGTCAGCCGTGCAGTTTATGCGCGGGCAAAAGTGTTGGTTTCGAGCTCCCCAAAGAGAACCGGAGGGTGGGGAGAGAAGAGGTGGTTGAGCCTCTTGGTTGCGCGGCGGTTCCGGGAAGGGCGGATGGATAGAGAGAAAAGCCTGTGCGCCTTTCGGGCCAGGAGGCTCGAGAGGAAGTCCGGTGCTGAAGAGCACGGCGCGGGCTTGGCTTTTCCCTCTGCTTTTGGGAACTGGGCTGCGGCGGGATCGGGGATGAGCGGAAGCGCTGAAGGCGGCGGAGCAAGCAGACGAGCAAGTCGCCTGGGCAGCCCCTGCGCCTCCTCCCCCACCCAGTATCGCAGTGGCGCTGGCTTCAGTAATGAACTTGTCACCCTGCGGCTGACGCATTGCTAGCCCTGCCTGCGGGAGTAGGCGAAGGAATGTACCGAGCTTGATCTTCCCTGTCAGGTTCCAAAGGGTCTCCTTCAGGCCCCTCATCCCCCAAACCTGCTCGTCTGGATAGGCTTCAGAGGGAGTGAGGAGACAAGGCCTCCCCCCCTTCTTCCATGTGAACGCCGTGGGACTGCCCCCCTTCGACCTCCCCAAGTCCTAAAGGTGAGTCCCTCATCTGGGACTCGAACTGCTTCCTCGCCTCCAGCGCTGCAATGCAGAAGGGGCTTCTTCGGCGGGAGCTGTTACGTAACGCCGCCCGCCCGCCCGCTGGCTTCTGTGGGCAAAGCTTCGCGAGGGGGCAAGAAGAATATCACCTCCCGAGCCTGCCCTTCTCGGCGAAATGATTCCTGTCTAGCCCGCTGGGGATCACAAAAGTGCGATTGTCTGAAGGAAACCGCAAATACTGAGGCTGTGACAAAAATGCCTCCGCCCCCCCCAAGGAGGAATAAACAGATTTTTGGTCGGCATTAGGGTGGGTTTCTGTGAATACACACATAAGTGGGTGGGGTTGATGTTTTCTGTTTGGGGATGGGCCTTGAGAAATTATGTATTTTAATCTCATATCCTTCTGTTACTCCAAATAACAGGGACAATGTTTTCTGGAGTAAGGGAGAAAAATAACCCTTAAAGTTAAACTCCATATAATAATGATGTGGGATAGGCTATAAAAAAAAGATGTGATGTAGTAAAGGGCCTGATAATGTGATGTTTTAAATTTTTTTTTAGTAAGATGTCTGTCATATTGGGCTTGACTAATGTAGTAGTAAAATGCTCAGTCAGTAGACAATATTTAAGAAGACAGATTAAAGACATGAAGAACTGATAGTTACAAGATTAAAGGCATACTGTTATTTTGGGAAGAGGCTTTATATCTCTGGTCACTTTCAAGAAACTACATGAAGTTTTAATAAGCAAATGGAAATGCTGGTATTTGGGTCAATTTAATCCTGGCCCTCACAAAACATTTTCTCCTTTCTGTGGGTACATTGGAGCAAGAACACAGAAGGAGCCAGTGAAAAAACAATTAGTCGGGATTTGATTGTCTGTTAGAAGCAAAACTTCAGTCCATTATGACTTTGTTGACTTCAGTTCACAAATGCTCCAAATACTTGAAAATGCTTTACAACATTACCTTTACCTATGTCAACAGTAACATGAATGAAAATGCTCCAGGAGAATGAGTGGCATTTGTAAATTGTAAATCAGCAGCTGAAGTAAATTCTCTGTAGCTGAGAAGTATCAAGGAAAGAGTTCTAGGACCCCGTCCAAGCAGAATGAGCAGGCAATCCATTGTGTAATAGGGTGGTTTGCAACATTTTGAAATCATATACATTTAAAGGCCCTATTTTGTAAGACTATTAAATCTAAATTCCAAAATTACTCAGTTATAGACCTGAAAACTAATAGATCTTAAAAGGAGCTCCTCCACTCATTGCATAAATACTATATTGGCAATGATACCACTTATAACCGTACACATTTTCTTTCAGTACTGGCACAAGGGATGTTTCCATTGTGAGGTCTGCAAAATGGCTCTAAATATGAACAACTACAAAGGATATGAAAAGAAGCCTTACTGCAATGCGTAAGTGTTAAAATGTTAACTTAAAGAAATGTACTCATACATACTCCTTAGCTCAGGTGGCAAAACCTAGATGATTTGGATGAACTTGAAAAAAAGAGAAGCAGGGTAAAGCCCAATTACTTCTTGAATGAGATGTAATCAGAAATCTCAGGACTATAGGCTAGGTGGAAAAGTAAAAAAAATATTCCACAAAATGGGCAAGGCAAACCAGTTCCATATTGTTATCAAGATTTACACATATGTGTTAATGAAGTCACCAGCAGTCAAACTTTACTCGAAGATTTTGCCTTACATGTACTGACAGGATGGATATTGGCTTTGACAGATATATTATCAAAAGGCAACTTCTCAAATTAGTATTAGTTCAATCTCTGTGAAGTTCTTTAGCATGAAGTCTTTTAGTGTACAGGAAAGCCTGTTTTTCACTTAAGCAGAAATACTTATATATAATATAATAATGTAATATAATTATATATAATATAATATAGTCAGAAGGATTAACTATAGTATGTACAAAAATTTGTACAAGATCATTCTCAAGAGTTTTAATGGCCCCGTTAGAATGAAGTCGTATAAAATTTCTTAATCAATGAAGAGTTTCCACTCATGGTTTTGGAGCCAACAGTATCAAAAGGTTAGTAGGTATGTTTTATGAAATATTTAATTGAGTATATATATATTATATATATACACCAATTTATATTTTGCTGATAAAGAAATAAACACTACACACACACACACACACACACACACACATATATACATACATACATACACCATATATATAAATGTAGAAATTAAAAGAAAATTAAAATCATTTGCTATTTTCTATATTGCTATATTATTAATATGTCCAGGATGATCTTGTTTAAAGGTAGATTTTTGGGGGAAAACTAGTTTTCCTTTCAGGTAGGTAAAAAAGGTAGAATCCTTGCAGAGTCTTACTCCGCTAGTCAGTGCTGACTATGGGAGTACTGGTGCCCATGTTCATTTCAAGACCATTGAGCCAGCGCTGTCTGGAGACATTTCTGTGGCCATGTTGCCAGCATGATGTCACGGAGTGCTGTTACCTTCCCAGCAAAGTGGTAACTATTTATCTACTCACATTTGCATGCTTTTGAACTGCTAGCTTGGCAGGAGCTAGGGCAAGGACGGGAACTCATCCTTCACGTGGTGTTTGGGTCTTGAACCTGGGTTGCTGGCTTTTCAGTCAACATACAAACACACGTATATACACACACATATATAGATACACACACACACACACACACACACACACACAGACACAGACACAGAGTATATATAAATGCATTTATATCTCCCTTTTTTCCCTGAGTGTTCAAGTTTGTTTGAGGAATGTCAGAAGGGTGTCTCAGGGAAGAGGGAGTAGATTCAAATACTTAGCATCTGAAAGTAAAGAGCTGTTAAGCAATGGAACAGTTTATCTCCTGAAGTTGTGGGTGCTTCAACATTGCTGGATTAAAAAAAAGAAAAAAAGACTGGACAACCATTTGTCCAGAATGGTATAAGGATTATGACTGTGTGAACTGCAATAATTTTTAGGCACTGTATATAATATCCAATCATTAAGATACTTTAAACTCCAAAATAATTAATATAATTATATCCAATGCAATATATCTGTATTCAATGCAAAATACGTATGCAATCATGTTAGGAGCAATTCTAATATACTGACCACATAGATTAAAAATAAGCACTCTCCAGGAATAAATTGTGATTTTTCCAGTGAACATTTTATTTCCTTCAGTATAACCTAAATGCTTTCAGTTTGATAATGGACTCCTTAATTGGATGTTGAATATTTTTAAAATTCATTTTTGCATATTGGTAATGGAACACTTTCATTTAAATCTATTCCTTGTGGTTCCCCAAAGCTCCTTTTGGAACACATGGAATATTAAAATGTTTGACTTGGGATGTGTGCCCAATACATCTAGTTTAGTATGCATAGTGTTTGTTTGCCTTTCAGAAAACAGAGTTCCCTTTTGATTCCTGAAAAGGGCAAGTTGCCTTTTGCTGCTTGTAATTTATTTACCTGCTTTTGTTTTTCATCTTGTTGGTCAAACAAAATTAGGTTGGTTTCCATAGTTTATTTTTAAAAAAATCTTCCTTTTAATGTTAGCAGGACACTAGAACTCCTATTGAGGCAACAGGCAACTGAGTTGTTGGGAATGAATGTTAAATAACAGAGTTGGAAGGGACCTTGCTCAAGCAGGAAACCCTACACCATTTCAGACAAATGGTTGTCCAATCTCTTCTTAAAAACCT